TTCGGCCTTGAGACAGCTTATAATGTGATTTTGATTTGCATTTCGAAAAGGTTCAAAAATACAACCGACACTAAACTATTGGATAATATGTCGTGATCAAATGCAATTAAATGCAATGCAATTAAAATGGAGACTTTATGCTATTAATCTGGAAACAAACAAGTTAACCACGTGATAAATAAATAAGAAATGGTAGAAATATAAGAAAAATAGTAGAAAAACGTTAAAAATGTGAAAAAATAGCGAAAATATATAAAATATTTTACCAATAGAAATGATTAAGTACTATTCCGTAGCATAAAACTAACCTCACATTATCAACACGTTAGAATCACATTACTTATTGTATAAATTTGGTTATCTAATGGGGAAATCACGCAATATTTTATATTACCCAAAACAGTGTTGCCTTTTTTAGATAAATGTTGAGGTTATGTTTAATGAAATTCCACCAATTGGAAACAAGAGAATAACTTAAAACCTCAATGAAATTACAGCTGAGAAATTTACTCCTCCATCTTGGTCTTTAGATAACCTCATTTTCCTTTGTAGACTTCTAAAATAGAGCAAATTAATTACATTTATCACAAATAATACAATTTTAGATAACTTACAGCGTTGATAAAAAAAACCCAAAGTAGTTAAACACTCTAGATGCATTGCTAACAAGAAAAATTGTGTGTACATAACTACATAACCTATTCTAAAGTCTATTAACCTCACTTTGAAGGACTTTTAAACAAATATACTAAACTAAAACAAAGATAATACAATATATATTACTACTACTACTTGCTACCAATTTGACCGTTGGCTTTTAACTCAAAAATCCCTTTTCTTTTACTTTTGGACTTTTTGTGCGTTTACCTATACCTGCGGATCGTAAACCAAGCGTACACCGTTATAATTGCAATCGATGGCCGCTGCTCGCCGGCATCTCCGGCGTCTCGCTCGTCTGGTACCCTGGCAGAAAGCAATTAGTTTTCAAATTTAATGCACATGCAAATCAAACCGCATCCGCGTGCGCTCGCCTCGCACGCCGCTCGAAAACAATCCCGGCGCGCGCGCACGGTCGTAAAACGCGTTTATAAATATGGCATATTTACGCCATGAATATTGGATATTTCCAGTGGGGCTCAAGCACGTCTAGGAATTCGCAAACAATCAAACATAAATACTCGTTGAGTGTGCATACTCATGCGCATGGTTTCTAATTATCGCGCTGCGACTCCGAAGTTATACTTAAACATCTTTTAAAAGCATTTAGGAAGAATCTAAGCATAAATGACTGCTATAATCATTAAATTCATGATTAATCAAAACAAATTGATCAATAATTAAATTATTTGATCGTAGATTAGTTTAGAAGCAGTTATAAAAGATTTTAATTGAATTTAATGCAATAAAATTAAGAATTTTGAGGTTATGGTGCAAAGAATTAACCTAAATTAGTGTTTTTACTTGTTATAACCTCTTAAGTAACAAATAATACTTAATTCTTGCAAAAATTCATGAAATTTGTCATGTTTTTCTTCATTTTTTAAGAATCACAGCCAATTTTAACCTTATTTCTCTCAAATTTTGCTCAAACTTCTAATTATGATCAAATTCATCACTATTAGACAAATAACTTCAAAATTGACTTAAAACAACTTAAATTAATACTTTTTAAGCTTTGATTCAACTATTTCCAACCATTTTGTTGCAATGGAAAGAAATTTAACCTCAAATAACATTTTTCATGATAAAACCCAATAAAAACTTATTAAAATGTCTTAAAACTACTAAAACATAAAGCAAAGTCTCCATCTTTCTTAATTTCTTGCAATAAACAACAAGTTTTCTTAAATAATTAGCTGTACGGTTAAGAAAACTCCATTTTATATCGTAGTTTGTAATATACCAGACCTGTTCGCATACAATCGGTGCGCGCAAGCCGCCAACGAAATTCATCATACGCATTAATAATATAATCATCAATAATAATCAATATCACCACAATAATAATAATATAAAATAGAAAATTCGTCTCTCTCTCACCGCCACGATCAAATCCATGGCGCTCCTGGCATTCAAGTGTAAAACACGTAAAAATGTTGATATATAACAATAAACAAATGCGTTGTTACATTCCTAAATAGTACATTAGTTATCAGTAGTAAGTCGTATCCCTAATTGCAGTTGTACCAGTTATAAACCATTTTTAAAAAACCGTATTCGTTACATTTTAGTATAAGAGGATCTTACCTATTGCACAAATATTTCTGTTACAAGTTATATCCATACAGTGCTACAAACTACAACCAGTCGTATACCATGTAAGGCTATAGTTGATTTTAAAAAATATAACAATAAACCATAGATTATGTGTGTGTGTGAATAAACATTATCCTATTGCTTTAGTTGCCGCCATCTGGTGTTAAACAAACGCGTTTTCATGTTTATGCTTACATAACCTGCAAAATTTGACTCGCTTCAAAAGCGGTGCCGGGCAGGAGAATCACCGGACTGGACACGTGGCCGGCTTCCACACAAACCATGTTTGGGTATTCATCATCGCCGAAATCGCCCATGTCCTTGGCTTTTTCAACCCATGGGTTCCAGACGACAGTGTCGGGGAAGTTGTACTTCTGTATGCGCATCTTACGCCCGGATACTACGTTGGTTATGATGTGTTCGTGTGGGGTGTTTTGATACACGCGGTCGGTCCATTCGCCGATTGTCACGACGTCGCGGCCGTCTTGATAGATAGCGCCATCGCGCGTCTTGTCGATGAACGTGCAGCCGTGTAGGCCGGTGATTTGACATCTGCGGACGTCCGGAACTTTGAAGTAAGTGTGGAGAAGCATGTTGAAACTGAATGTTAGGTCCTTGCTTGGGTTGTATATGGCTATGTTAAAGTGGAGTTCTTTTTCTCGGAGGATTAGTCTATATGTTAGACGGAATCTGCAAAAAATAAAATTTTTATATGAAAAATTCATTCAAATGTTTTAAAATCGATTTAAAATGTTTTTTTTTTGTTTAAAAATACATCTTTATGTAAATAAATATTAATAATGTTAATATTTAAGTCGATTTAACTTGTAAATCAACTTTTGTTGATTTTTTTTGACAGTTTTTTAACGATTACAACTAAACTAATTGCAATAAATGTTTAATTTTTGGTGTGGTGATAAATTTTATAAAGATATACTTTAAAAAGCAAACAGTGATCTTCTAAGTCATTTAGTTTAAAAGTTTTAAACTAATTCATAAAAAAATCATTAGATTTTGACAGTTTTTTCGCGAAAAAAACCAAAATTATTAATAAAATTATCTTATTTTGCTCTCACTAATAAACAATTCAATTCTGCACTAAATAAAAAAAGAATCAACCTTCTATCTCGTTTAGTTTCCGAGTTATAGAAGTTTTCCACTGTTTTACAGATTTTTTTCCAACATTCTAACAAAAAAAAAAACTATATTATTTTGAATAATTCAATATTTACAGCAACTAGCAGTTCAAAATTTACATTATCTGCAATAAATATCCTAATTCTCAATTTCCTGTAACTGCAACTCACAAAACCTTAGCTATGCATGTAAAAAACCTCATTTTACGCCCGTTTAATGACAGTTATAAAGCGACTTACGAGTAATTCCACATTGACCTTGTGTAGTCGCTCTCCATCAGCGAGAACACCGCCTCAACATCGCCGCTTGGCATGCGTTCAGGGGCCTTTTCAATATTCCAGCGCACCAGCCGGGCAAACCCGTGCTGGGGCCCGAATGTCCATGCTCCAAATTGTGGAAAAACAAATGGAATACCACCTCTAATGGCTTTCTTTCCATCAAAAACAGCTTGTTTACTATTGAAAATATAAATAAATAAGTTTTATGTTAATATTTAAACAATTTAAAGTTTTAATATGTTATTGGAACACTGACATACCTCACAAAGAGCTGTTCTTGATTGTTGACCCTCCAGGAAACAACGGTAGCACCTAAAAAGTGGCACCAAATAAAACCATAAGTAAAAAATCGCCCAGTGAAAATTATAAACAAAAAATTTGAGGTTATGCGAAAGTTTTTTTGCGTGTTTTTGCAGTAATTACGTGACGACGTGTTATGCAACTTTACAGATAAGAAGATGGGTTTATTTCGGCAGGAATGCAATGCTTACCGTGTAGATTGATCGTGCAGGTCGTGTTGTTACCGCGATCTAAGACTACAACGCTGGTGGCGGCCATCGTAGACTCGCGCGATCGTCGTTTGTTTCGGTGTAACCGCTACCTGCGTCACCTGTGTGCTGTGTGCGGGGTCCCTCTATCGGATTGAAGTTCTCCCAGTTCAAAAAAAGCGCCGCCGCTTGGTTGATCGGTTTGAATGAACGTCTGACCTCGATGCGTGTTGATTGCTGGCCCGTTCGCTTGCTGGACGGATTACGTCTGAGGCGAGCTGTGGCGCGCCAGGACAATGGACGCGACCAGTTTTTCACGATTCACGCCAGCGGCCAGCGGCAAAAAACATTCTCGACTTCGCGCGTTCATAAAAACACGTTTGCGAGCGACATCTGTGTCGTCATGGCAGCGCAAAATCGATAGCGTGCATATCACGGGGACTTCCAGCTATAAAAAAGCGTTTTATGTTACGTAGACTTTTATTGCCGCATTAAACTACTAATTAGTCACGTGTGCACGCTATGTATTTATGTAATTATTGGGTATGCAGGTAATTACTGATCTAAGACGGAAATATCATTTCAAATGTGGGACTTTGAACATCGTGCAAAGTCGGTGTTATTGCATAGTATCTTAAATCGCCTGCAGGGGGCCATAGTAATATTGAAGTAAATTTAAATATTTTGTTACAGAATTATCTAAAACCTTCTTATTTTACACAAAAATTAACTTAAAAGATTTACTTCAACTAAATAAATACATTTTATTTATATTACTTAATTAAAACAGTACATATCTACCATAATTTCCTTTATATTTTTATTTTTTTACCCTGTACATGTCAGCATGGTAAACATAACCGCGAAATCTTCATGTGCTCAATGTTGATATCGTTTTCTTAAGTTTTTCTTAAATAAAAACTAAACTAAACTAGATAACTATGTCCTTCTTTATAAAAAACAAGGGTAAACAACCCAAAACTAATAAAAACCAGAAAAATCCCAGTAGGAAGCGGAAACTTCCGAATAATAACGAAAAAACTAAAAGTTACAATGTGCCAGCAAGTAAAGACGACGATATCACAAGTAGTGAAGATGAAGACTTTAATAACAAAGAACAAGAGCACTATGAGTCTGAAGATGATAACGAAACCGCACAGGAGAAGAAACTACGTTTGGCAAAGGTTTATTTGAAAGAAATTGAAGCACAAGGTAATTTTTAACCTGTAAATGTGGTAGTTATTGTGTAGGTCATTGTTTTTACTTAGTTTTTCATGAATAACTTTTGAACGAAAAGAGTTAGGGTTGTGAATCTTGCAGAAGTTGATTCTATATTAAATTCTGTTTTATGTTCCGTTTAAACCTTGTAAATTATTGCCCTGGATAAAAAGTTACAAGGTATTAAAGTAATCTTTGTTGAAAGTATGGAAAAACACGTTTTTTTGTTAATAATTGGTGAATTAAAACTATTGCAAATATTTTCTTGGGTCAAATTTGTGAAGAATTAAGTACAGAATCATTTTTTAATATAATTGTGTTGATATTCCATTGTTTACTTAAGTAATTAACTAGAAAAGTCAAATTTTCGCTACAAAACCACATTTTTAAAAAATTTTTATTGTTTAGAACGCAAAAAACGTGAACGTGAAGACGAAGAACAAGACGAGCAGGACGACCACGATCGTAAAATCCAACAACGCCTCTTCTACGACCACCTGAAACAAACCGGCCGATTCCGTTCGTCAGTCGCAGACCAGTACAAATCCCACAGCAAAATCTCTTTCCTCAAAGCAAAAGAACACAAAAGCACCATAACTTGTGTCTGCGTAAGCTCCGACGATAAGTACTTATACTCCGGCAGTAAAGATGGCGGAATAGTCAAATGGTCACTGGAAACACACCAAAAACTATCCTCCTTGCCATTCATCAAGAAAAGCGTTGAGAAAGCCTACACAAAAGGACACAGTTCATCCATACTATCACTAGCATTATCCCACGATAGCCTATTCCTTGCTGTTGGTGACACCTCGTCGAATATCCAGATTTGGAACCCGGAGACATTCAAACACATCAAGACACTGAGCGGACATAAGAATTCAATATACGCGTTGGTGTTTCGTAGAGGTACGCACACGTTGTATTCGGCTAGTGCGGATAGATCGGTGAAGGTGTGGTCGCTGGATGAGATGTCCTATGTGGAGACACTATATGGCCACTTGGATGCGGTGACTGCGATTGATGCGTTGGCCAGGGAGAGGGCGGTTACAGCAGGTGGGCGGGATACGTCGCTGAGGATGTGGAAGATTCCGGAGGAGTCGCAGTTGATTTATAATGGCGATACGGGGAGTATTGATGTGGTCAAGTTGGTTAATGAGGAGACATTTGTTTCCGGCGGTGATAATGGGTAAGTTTAATAATTTAGAATATGTAATTTTATTGATTTAAGTTAATTTTATGTTATTTTGTTGAGAAATTTCAAAATGGCCGGAGGTTGAAGTAAAAAATTTGATTTTTTGGTGTTTAAATTGCAAATAACGCTTTATTAGCTTATCAAATTTTAAAACTTTAAACATAATATTAAAATATAACTAATTGGGTTCCGTTTGCACAAAATTTTATGAAAATATCTAATATAACAACAAAATGGCGACGGTTTGTACTAAAAATTGCATTTTCCATGCTTTTTAATTTTTTTAACCTTTAATTCCTTGTAAAATCTAGATTTATTTATATTTTCGACAAATTTTAGTATATAACAATACTTATATTAGTAAATTAGTTCTGTACAAAATTTAGTTCATATTAAACCAATAGATTTTAAGATATTTATGATCAAAATCAAAATTTACTTTTTTTCCATAGAACTTTATCACTTTGGGGCGTCAATAAGAAGAAACCAACAGCATCTATAAAATCCGCACATGGCATTGATGAAACAAATGATCAACCTCTATGGATTACTGCGCTTGCAGCTTTAGTAAACACTGATTTAGTAGCGTCAGGTAACATAACCTATTCCAACACAACTAAAATTAGTCATTTATTGAAAACATTTTAATTCATACAGGATCCTATGATGGCAACATAAAACTATGGAAAGTAGGAGACCATTCAAAGACCCTCACTCATCTAATGACAATTCCAGTCCTTGGTTATGTTAATTCTTTAGCTTTCAGCAATGATGGAAGCAAATTAATCGCTGCGGTGGGCAGTGAACACCGACTGGGACGGTGGAATGTTGTAAAATCAGCGAAAAACAGTCTAGTTGTTATTGAACTAGTTAAAAGTTAATAAAATTAATAAAATCATTACATTAAACTATGTATAGGTTAAAATAATCATAAGTAAATTGTTTCTTTAAGTTTTATTCAAAAATTATGTCACCATCACCTCTAAACTTAAATTTATAACGCTTAAAACTTATATTGTGATACATAAAGTATGATTTTCGAGATGACCGTGTTGGTGAGCACGTTATGGTTGAAAATCTGCATCTGTAGGGTCAACTCGACCTGCTGCGGGCCTTCAATCGATGTTTTTATTGATATAGTCACACTATTATGCTGTCTATCCAACAGAAAGTCATTTTCATTCGCAGGTCTCACAAAGAGAGGAAAACGTGCTGTTTGTACATCCAATTTAAACGCCACACGAGAATGTGGACTCTGTGGACCTCGCATCTTGAACAACTTCACAGGTTCATCCAAAATTGTATAATTCGAAACAATATTGAAGAAATGATAACTGATTTGATCTGGTAAGTGCTGCGAGCATTCATTGTATCGACACAAGTCTGTATCTATCTTACAACGACTAAAAAGTAAATATAAACAAATTAGTTTTAGGTTATGTTGTATACAGTTAAGTATACTAAAACCTCTTTTGGTGTTGGTCACGTTTGTAATACTTCGGACAAGCAATCGAAGCACACTCATAACCACCTCTGGTGTTGAAGCAGTACTCATCTGGACCTTTACAAGGATCATCCAGTTTACATTCATCATTATCTAGAAAGAATCATAAAGTAAGTAAATACTAATTAATATTTAGAGGTTATGATAACCTTGGCATGTGTGCCCATCTGTACCAAGTCTATACCCAGTTGGACAACCACAATGATAACTTCCTGGTGAGTTTATACAAGTTCCCACGCAATGAACTTGATTGGAGAAGAGTGAGCATTCATCCACATCAGAACAGGTCCTGTAAAAGTATAAATTTACATTTTTAACAGTTTTAGATGATTTTTTAAGGTTATGTACTTACCTGTTGTCTGAATTCAAAGTATACCCTTTCTCACAGTAACATTTATAGCTCCCCAGAGTATTGTAACACTTTGATCCACATCTTCCAACTTCTTTACATTCATCAACATCAACGCATGTGTTATTAACCTTCTGGAATCCTTCTTTGCATTGACACTGAAAAGACCCAATGGTGTTGACGCAATCAGCACCATATGAGCATATCCTCCCTTTGTAGTATTTACACTCGTCAATATCCACACATCTCTTGCCTTCTTTGCTGTGTCCAACTGGGCATTCACAGCGGTAGTACCCATTGTAATTCTTACAAATCTCCGAAGGTGAACAAGTGTGATTACCACGTATACACTCATTGACATCAATACACTCTTCACCAGATGAATTCAATTCAAATCCTGGTGTGCATACTAATTTGGGTTTACATTCATAACGCCCATTGTAATTGTAACAGTAGTGGGACCTTGGACATGGGTTGCTTTGACATTCGTCTACATCCTGACAGGCACCTGCTGCATCCATGTAGTACCCAGGAAGACATTTTTTACTCTGGGAGCTGATTATGGTATAATTAGGGTATGAGGGATAAGCAGGTATGTAAGGGTATGCAGGTATCTGAGGGTACTTCTGAGGAGGTTTTATTGTTGCATAGGAGTAAGGTTTAGTAGGTTGGGTCACAGGTATATTATAAACAGAAGGATACTGTGGTCTTGTTGGATACCTCAATGGAGGTTGTGTAGGTGGAGCTGGTGTAGTCGGAGGTGGAGGTCTATCACATCTAAAAGACCCATGTGTGTTCCTACATATTAAATTCCTCCCTCCAAGGTCACAGTTATGTGTCCCCAGAGCACATTCATCATTATCCTCACAAACACCTGTTTCGTAGTTGAGTGTATAACCTGTACCACAATTAGCCATTCGGGAGCAGAGGTAAGACCCAACTGTGTTGTCACAACGTTGACCCTCTGAGCAATCATTCCGGTTTGTTTGGCATTCGTTGATATCCTGACAAGCTCCTGTGATAGAATCTCTTTTGAAACCAATTTTACAGTTACATATGTATCCACCTAGAGTGTTATGACAGACTTGATAATGGTCACAGTGGTTGTTCCCTGTTGCGCATTCATCTATATCCTCACATTGTTCTGTGACATCCGAGTAGGAATATCCTCGGTTGCAGGTGATAGGTGGGGGGAATCTATTTGGACCATGGGGGAGGTTCAAAGGAGGTTGTCTGGTGGTAGGTTTTGTTCTGGAGATGAACACAGGGGATGTTCTTATTGTTGTGGGTTTAGTGGGTTTAGGAGTTGTGGTGGTAGTAGTAGTAGTAGTAGTAGTAGTGGTGGGGGTAGTCATTTTAGGAGTAGTCTTAACTGTGGTCCTCACAGTAGTAACTTTAGTAGTAGGTTTAGTTTTAGGTGTGGTAGAAGTAGTGGTACTAGGAGTAGTCCCAATGGTACTCCCTGGAACCCCTTTCCCACTCCCCATAGGCACGCAATTATGCCCACCTTCCTCATTGACACACAACTCATTCTCCGCGCACAGAGGAATATCCTGTGCGCATTCATCAATATCCATGCAGATCTGCATCATGGTATTCATCATGAACCCAGGTGGGCATGTCTTCTTCGATGCTTTATCCACACAAGTATAACCTCCCTTGTTATTCAAACAAACCTGTGATTCTCTATTACATTCATTTTCACCTGTGACACATTCATCCACATCTGCACAATCCTGGGTACTGGCTTTGAAGAAGTACCCTTTTGGGCATACCAGCTCCCCACCTGTACAATTATAAGACCCTTCTGTATTAATACACTTTTGTGTGGATAGACATATCAAAGGAAGTAGACATTCATTGATATCTTCACAGGCTTTGTTTTCCCAGTTGTAGCGAAACCCTGGTTTACATTCAACAGCTTCATAGTCTTCATCATCACCTCCTTCTTCAACACACTCGTAGTATCCGTCTTGGTTTACGCAGGTTTCATTACCGTGACAGTCGTGTTCCAATTCACATTCGTTGATGTCTTTGCAGCTTCTTTTGTCTGGTTGGAGTTCATAACCATCGTAACAGGTACAATAGATGGCGATACCGGAGTCTACACAGTTATGGGCACAAGGGTTGTTGGTATCACACCTAAATAACCAAAAACAAAATTTGGAAAATCATTTTCTTAAAATTTAGTTTAAAATTTTAAAAAATTACTTTGATTTCTTTTGGGAGATGTTTTTGGTCCTGTGATCTCCTTGCAACTATTACCATCCGCCATTAGGGTATACCCAGGGTTACAATCACATTTGTAAGACTCTCCTGTAGGAATACAAATCTGGGCACATAGGTCTTCAATCTCGCAGAGGTTACCCAAAGACTGTTCATTATTCGGGGTGTTATCCGTGGTGGTCTTTGGTAACATTTTTTGACAGCAAGCCTTGAAGTGCTTATCATAGGAACCCAGATTGAAGGAACTCTCGCATGTATTTGATACTGCGGATATCTTACCAATATTACAGGCATCACAACAACTCTAAAATTAAAAAATTTTAAAAAAATTTAAAAATTTAAAAATGTTTTTTTTTTAATGAAAAAACATTACTTTTCGTTCACTTCCGGTTTGGGCATTACACGTGCCAGTCTCTGCGTCGTTTATACCCAGCCTACACTCATTTTCTTTCTCCTGGGTTTTACAACAGATGACCAAAGTATTCAAACAGCTAGATTCGTCTTTTTCTGGGATACCATCAAATGGTGGTTGGATACTCGAACAGGAAACGTCATTATTCGCGTAGTTTTTACCCATATCGCAACATTGTGTTAACGTTTGATGGATGGCACCTTAAAAACCGCCATTTTTTAAATATTTTTTAAGATATTTGATGTTTAAATTAATATTTTAAAAGTTTTACCTTGGATTAAATTGATACTACTGCAACACATCAAACATATCACCAAACACTTGACATAACCAACTTCCATGATTCATTTAGCACACGTGGCACATTCCTAACACATTAACACTGCGAGTGTTGGCCAACTAGTGACAATTTGATTACGCTTAGCCTAGTTCCAAGCGTATATTTAGTGTCTTATCGCCGGCGTTTGTTGAGTTTAAATGTTTGCCCACTAACGTCTTATCTCAGCAAACAGAAGGGCGATGAATCGATCCGAAGATTGAGCACGACGTTCGGGAATATGGAGAATATTGTAAAGCGTTTTGCTCGTACTATGTCGCAGTTGTCGGCGCATTGTTGTGAAATCACTGCTTGATTATTATGAAAATCGCCATTGTTTTTATGCGCACATCCGGTGGCCATATTTAAACTTGACCTTTGACATCACCTAGGTGTACAGTACACATACACGTGAATTGTCCAATCAATCAATTTGCGTTCGACAATCGTCACAATTGAATTATCATACAAACTAGAATAGAATAGAAAGTAAATTGCGTAAAGTATGTGTATACTTGGTTGCCTATATATGAATTGAGGTTAATCATGGACTCGCCTGTGTGATATAAATCACACATTAATCTATTTGTCACAGATTATCGCTCGCATAAAATATTTATGAAGTGAGTTTAGTGATGTGAGGCACAACGCGTTTAACCCTTTTATACAGTGGCGTGAATTGAGCGATAAAATCGCGCTTTGCGCAGTTCTTTTGAGGTGGTTTGATTGATCCGTCGTAAAAAATTCTCATCTCCTTTGATTCGCGTCAAGGGGTGAGTTTTAATTAATTTCCTCCGGGGGAAGTTTTAGACTTTTAAATTAAAACACGCCCATGCCACATTAATTCCTTACTAAATAGTCAAAAAAAAAAACAAAAAAAAAAATAATAAAAAAAAAAATTTATTTATTTACGTGAGTATTTAAATTATTTACCTCCAACATGCAAAATCATGATAGATGAGTATAATATGATGGATGACGATTGATCACTATGTTTGTTTTCTTTACAGATTTCTACATTTTATGCATTTTGAGGTTAAATATTTGTGGTTATGTAATTTTTGATTTTTTAGACTTTGAGTTTGAGTTGGCAGAAGAGCACGTGCTGAATGAAGCAGAAATTTTCGCGGGGTGGGAATCGATGGCGCAGCGTTGGTGTCCGCCGCGCGGGGCGGCAGTGCGTCGAGGGCGGCGGCCGTGGGCGCAGTGCATGGCGCGTGCAGCGCGGCAGCATTGGTGAGGATGGCGGGCCGCCGAAGTAGCTCGATCGGCTGCCGGTCGCTGATCGGGCGTCGCGCGTCCGTCTACGTTCACACCACCTACGATCCCGTCAAGGTAACACTTACATAACCTCTCTAACATAACATAACCTCAATTATAAACGTAAACATAAACAAGAATCACGTGCGTATTAATTTTAACCGCACATGCGTTAATTTATGGTATTTATGATTATTTTGTGTAATACGTAGTAAAAGTTTGATGGTTTTGATGGTCGTTCAGTGTGATATTGCGCGTTTGCGCGCGTTTATGAATAATTTAGCACGCGCGCTACCCGCTTAGCGGGTAACAGGTAACGAGTGTATTAAAGTTGTATTCATCTCCCGTGGGATGCAACGATGGCGGCGGGTGTTTGCCCAGTGACATACATAAAGATGAATGCTCTATTGTTTTGTAAATTGCTACTCTACTAGCGCCATCTATTTTATAGTAGCTTTAAAATTTAACTAAAAATATTTAAAAAATTTTAAAATTAATTTCTTTTACTTTTCATGTCTAAAAATTAATTTTTTATGGTTTTGTTATCATAGTAGTGAATATTTTTGTATTGTTTTTATTATTTGTCACTTGTCATTGAAAAAAACTAACAAGTACGCATAAAAAACACCACAATGGGTTTTTGTGTGCGGCGCATGGTTTAATGATGCGATGATATGCGGGTGGGCGCACGTTATCCGACACCAGGAACGAGGAGGCACTCGTCCTGCTCGTCGACCGGATGGATGCTGACTGGATGAGGCGCGCGGGTTGGATTTCGTGTTTGAGAACACGCGGATCGATACGCTGAAAGTTAATGCCGCGCAGCTGGGGGTAGGTCCTGTTTTTATGTTTGACTATCTTTGTATATATATGTGTGGATGTGTTCGTGTATGGGTGTGCAATTGCGAAATTGCGAAAATGCGAAAAACATCACCTAATTTCCTAACTCGCGCGCACCGTGGGGGACACTAATCGAATTACGTGGGGGTATAAATATCGTCTCGTTTGCTCGAACACGAACCGAATCAACTTTTATACAAGTTTTACGTCGCTCACGTTTCAATTAGCTGCTGGATCAAATTTTAGCAGTTAAAGTTTTGAGTTTATTTGATGTGCATGATTATTGTGTTGGAAAAACTGTGGAATTATCAAAATTATCAATGGAAATGCTTTTATGACTAAAATTTAAAAATTTTAGGTTATGGAAATGAATGATACAGTTTTGCGCCATTTAGGGTTGAATTATATGATTATTTGCATGAGAGAAACACTATATCAAGTTTCAACCCTTATTTTACACCCTTGAGGATAAATTATTACAATAGAAACTATTCTATAGCTTTTTCTATGATATAATCTCTTTGTATACCTAATTTTATGAAAATTGATAAAGTGGTTTAAGCGTGAAACAGTAACAAACATACATTTTCACAAAATATTGCGTTTTTTGATACTAATACACTACAAAAAATAATGTTACAGCATTTCTAGACAAAATTTGTTCTTTTTCAATTTACAACCCTTATTTCCCACCCTTCCAATTAAATTTCCCCAACAAAAACTAACCTATTTTATTCTCCATACTCAAAACTACCTCCACACAAAATTTTATCAAAATTGCTTGAGTGGTTTACGCGTGAAAGCTTTACAAACATACAAATTCCACTCTCACATACGCGTACACCCACCCGAAATAGATTTTAAACATTTGCTTTGTATCGAAATTCATCCCGATAGCTTCCTACCTGCGGTTTTACGACTATTGTATAGGATGTATGCAAATAGCAAATAGCAATCATGTTGGGTGCCGGATGTGGCTTCCCGCCGTGGATGTATCAATTATGACACGCCACTACGTCAACAGTACCAATTGATAGCAACCACGTGGAACGTGGATACTCATTGTTTGCGTGCGCCTAGTGCGCAGCCAAGTGGCAGAAAACCTTCAAGGTACCGTAGAAGCCGGAGGAGAAAAGAGAAGAGAACTCATTCGTACAGGAGAAGAGAAGATAATGATGTGTAGCGATGTATAACAAAGCGGTGAATGTTGAGCATGTTAACAACGCGTTCATTTAACTTTGATAATTCGGTATATCAAGCTGGCCAATTATGTAACATCAGCAGGAATTGGCAAAAATTTATATTTAGGGTGGTAAGAAGTGCCAGGTTTTAAAAAAAATGAGAATTTATTAAAATTTTGAATATTTTTTTTCATAAAATTTGTAAAATTTGATTTTTCAGTATAAGAATTGTTGAATTATTATTTTTCAAAATTTTTTTCATTTTTTTATCAAATATTCAAAATTTTACAAAAAAAAATTAAATTTTTTTATTTTTTTTAATTAAAATTTTTTTTGTTTAAAATTTATGGTTTTTCAATGTTTTGCGGCTTCAAATTTAGTTTTTCTTCATTTTTTATATAAATTTTGCAAAAATTAAAGCTTTTTCAATGTTTTTCATCATTAAAAACTCATAATTTGATGAAAAAACTTCAATTTTTTTTATTTAAATTTTTCTAACAAAAAAAATGATTTTTTTTATTTAAAAAAATTAAATTTTTCTAAAATTTTTTGCAAATTTTTCAATTTTTATTTTATTTTCTTTATTTTTTATGCTCCTGATGATTCTGATGATATTGAAAGTTATTAATATTTCACTCATACAAAAAGAAAAACTGTCAATCCGCTTTCCCCTTTAGTAATTTGGGATCTCGATCCATTTTCCCAAAAAAAAAAACTAAAGAAAACTCCGGCAACTGAATGTGCTATTGATTTGTGAGCATTACAATGACACACTTCGACAATGTTTTGCTCTTTTTATCTCTTCACTAAGTTGCCGGGACGTCGTGGGAGTCACGGAGGCCTCCGAATAGAAGGCATTAGGGATAGAAATCCACAGATGCTATTGATGTCTGCGTCTGTCGGCCCTCGGCAAATACTGAAAAATAAAAAAAAAAGAAGGAAGAAGAAAAGCGTCTTATCTGCTTTGTAACTTATATCTTTTTTATACGAGTACCATCTCTAAACATCCACGAAACATAAAAAAGTTACAACATTTAATACATCTATAAATTCATAAACATACATTGATTTTATACCAATGACTTTGTAATTTGCATAAGTCCTAAAGTTCCTCAAACTTTACTCGTACTCTGAATCTATCAATATCGTGATGATGATACGCTTGATTCGCATTCAATTCAATCCGATTGAGGAGTCCTTTGTACGGCATACGCCGTAGTTTTCGATTAGGTCCTCGGTTGGCAAAGCCCGTATCGAAAAGCTTTTCTTCTGGATGGAATCCCCCCGACCGGGTGTAATGTACTGACCGTGTTTCGGCGAAATAGGTCAATATCAGGAGAGCAGGAAGCAACGCGCAACGCCGGCGCTGGCTAACGCAATAAACTTTCGCGTCGTTCTCGCATTTCTCGTTCGCGTTCGTGTTCGGGCTCGTTTGTTCCCTTGACTTGGCGTACGCTTTGTTTGCTGGTTGTGTGTTTGTGTGTGGGTGTGTGACGGTTTTTCTATTATTTTTGTTTGCTGTGCAGTTTCAATCAGTTGTTCTTTGCTCGATTGCGAAATCGCGAACATTTCCACTTCATGTGGATATGGATGTAGTTATAGTTATGTTTTGGAGGTTGGATTATTAAGGAAATGTAAAGAAAATTGCATTTTTTTAGTATTAGCTTTTTTAATCCTTGTTTTAGAGGTTTAAACATTATTTTTTGCGATAAAAAGTGGTTTATGTTTTTTTGTATGGTTTAATCTCCCTGTATATTAAATTTTTTCAAATTTGATAAAGTGGTTTAGGCGTGTAAGAGTAACAAACATACATTTTCACAAAATATTGCGTTTATTGATACTAATACTGCTCAAAAAGAAGAATTTATTGCTTTTTTTGAGAAAATATGTGCAACTCTCATTTTCAACCCTTATTTAACCCATTTAACGTTCTATTTTTTGCAATAAAAACTATCCTATATTATTCTCTAGGAACTAATCTTTCCGTATACCAAATTTGATTAAAATTGATCAAGTAGTTTAGGTGTTAAAGAGTAAAAAACATAAAATCCTCAAAACCCGAAGCATTATAAGTGAATAGAATTTTTTTGTCAAAAATAAATTTTATCGATATTAAAAAAAACTGTAAAAATCCGAGAATAAAATAACGTCGAGTGATAAATAATGACCACAAATAAATTACACTTTAATGCCGATTGAGTACGACTGTGAGTTATTAATGCCGCCATTCATTACGTTTCACATTTCACGTCCTCCGAAAATAGAAAGCAACGAGAAAAGCTCATAAATATAAAATTGAGCAGAATAAGCCGGATGTAATAATCCGAAAATTAAATAAAAAATCTCAACTGCTTGCTGCTTGCCGGGCACGTACGCGGAGTGATTCGGCGGATGCGAATTGATGTGTTGCAATATCGAGTTCGAGTCCGAAATTCGAAACTGAATTTCCGACTCGAATGCTCAAAGCGCTGCAGCGGTTCCGAACGAGCTGATTGCCCGCATTTTCTGGCTAATCACCCACGCTGATATTACGTACGTATCATGTTATCTCACTGGTTAGAAATTTCTATTTAGTTCGTAGAAAACTGAAAATTGAAAATGCCAATGGCAGAATTTGAAGGAGTAACTTCAGGAAGTTATTGAAGTTGATTAAATTGCAGTAGAAATAAACTAAATATTTTGAGACATTCTACAGTTAATTATCTATCAAATAGCATTAATTTTGTTTAAATATTTAAATTTTTGGAAAAGTTATAATGATTTAAAAAAATATGTTTTTAAATTATTTAAATATGCTTTTTTTACTTCCGGCCACTATTATGTGAAAACTAAAAGACGTACATAGTTCAAAAAAAGTTAATACTATACTCTGGAAAATTATCTATTTAATGATATAAAAAACAAGTAAAAATTATTAATTATTAAATAAAATATTAAGCAACAAAGTTGAAACAATAATTTTGTTTAAAAAAGTGATTTCCATATTTATGTCTTCATTTTGAGAGGTTCCTGACAAAAGATTATTATTATTATTAACAAAACAAAAACTCAAAA